ATGGAGGCTCTAGACCCTTCCAGAGCTGAGATATCGAAACTCAAAAATTTGACCCGAAAAAAAAACGACAGTGGTACCCCTTTCGTTTTTTTTTCGGGCTAAAAATTAAGTTTCTCCAATCTCCTCAAAACTCTGGATTCTGATAGAGGGCCATGAGACTTAGACCTGAGTGCAAAAATGGAGGCTCTAGACCCTTCCAGAGCTGAGATATCGAAACTCAAAAATTCGGCCCGAAAAAAAAACGACAGTGGTACCCCTTACGTTTTTTTTTTTTCCGGGCGAAAAATTAAGTTTCTCCAATCTTCCCAAAACTCTGGATTCTGATAGAGGGCCATGAGACTTAGACCTGAGTGCAAAAATGGAGGCTCTAGCCCCTTCCAGAGCTGAGATATCGAAACTCAAAATTTCGACCCGAAAAAAAAAACGACAGTGGTACCCCTTACGTTTTTTTTTTCGGGCGAAAAATTAAGTTTCTCCAATCTTCTCAAAACTCTGGATTCTGATAGAGGGCCATGAGACTTAGACCTGAGTGCAAAAATGGAGGCTCTAGACCCTTCCAGAGCTGAGATATCGAAACTCAAAATTTGACCCGAAAAAAAACGACAGTGGTACCCCTTTCGTTTTTTTTTTTCGGGCGAAAAATTAAGTTTCTCCAATCTCCTCAAAACTCTGGATTCTGATAGAGGGCCATGAGACTTAGACCTGAGTGCAAAAATGGAGGCTCTAGACCCTTCCAGAGCTGAGATATCGAAACTCAAAAATTTGACCCGAAAAAAAAACGACAGTGGTACCCCTTACGTTTTTTTTTTTCGGGCGAAAAATTAAGTTTCTCCAATCTTCCCAAAACTCTGGATTCTGATAGAGGGCCATGAGACTTAGACCTGAGTGCAAAAATGGAGGCTCTAGACCCTTCCAGAGCTGAGATATCGGAACTCAAAAACTTGACCCGAAAAAAAAAACGACAGTGGTACCCCTTACGTTTTTTTTTTTTTCGGGCGAAAAATTAAGTTTCTCCAATCTTCCCAAAACTCTGGATTCTGATAGAGGGCCATGAGACTTAGACCTGAGTGCAAAAATGGAGGCTCTAGCCCCTTCCAGAGCTGAGATATCGAAACTCAAAAATTCGGCCCGAAAAAAAAACGACAGTGGTACCCCTTTCGTTTTTTTTTTTCGGGCTAAAAATTAAGTTTCTCCAATCTCCTCAAAACTCTGGATTCTGATAGAGGGCCATGAGACTTAGACCTGAGTGCAAAAATGGAGGCTCTAGCCCCTTCCAGAGCTGAGATATCGAAACTCAAACATTCGGCCCGAAAAAAAACGACAGTGGTACCCCTTACGTTTTTTTTTTCCGGGCGAAAAATTAAGTTTCTCCAATCTTCCCAAAACTCTGGATTCTGATAGAGGGCCATGAGACTTAGACCTGAGTGCAAAAATGGAGGCTCTAGGCCCTTCCAGAGCTGAGATATCGAAATTCAAAAATTCGGCCCGAAAAAAAAAACGACAGTGGTACCCCTTAAGTTTTTTTTTTTTCGGGCTAAAAATTAAGTTTTTCCAATCTCATCAAAACTCTGGATTCTGATAGAGGGCCATGAGACTTAGACCTGAGTGCAAAAATGGAGGCTCTAGCCCCTTCCAGAGCTGAGATATCGAAACTCAAAAATTCGGCCCGAAAAAAAAACGACAGTGGTACCCCTTACGTTTTTTTTTTTTCGGGCGAAAAATTAAGTTTCTCCAATCTTCCAAAACTCTGGATTCTGATAGAGGGCCATGA